TTGTAAATTTTGGTCAATGACATGAGACAAAGTATATGTGAACTGCTGTATGAAAAGTGAATTTACTCTGTAAATCTTCACCCAAATCAAAATAAAATTAAAAAAAAAAAAAGGTAGTTACAACTGCATAAACATCATATTCTCATTTGACTATCTACCAAGCTTTTTGTATTTAGAAATTCTCCCAGAATCACTACATGAAATGTTAAATAAAATTTACTGAAATAAGTTTTAGGATCTCCTGGGGTTTCTATGAATATATTCTAAAATATTTCTATATACCAATCTTTTGAATCTTCTTTATTTCTGATTTTGTTTTGTTTTAGTTTCTTTTCTTTCCAATTACTCTGATCTTTTTTATAAGTATTCCTTTAGGATCTAACAAATTTCAAACAACAGAATTCCTTTTTAATTAGCCTTTTACAATCTAGATCTCTAGTGGTTTTGTAGTCATGAAATACATCAGACCAACACCTTTCTTGTTTGTAAAACAGGGTTAGAATCTGAATATCTATGTGCTGGTTGAGCATGTAGAGCAAGTAGATAGCCCCTATTTTGGGGAATATTATGGAATGACATATGGAAATTAAGGAAATTCAGCTGTTTTTTATGTTGTAATTGGTTTATCCATTAATCTGTTTGTGGACATTTCAGTTGTTTCCTTAAGTTAAAATCCACTGGTTTTAATGGAAATGTGTTTCATTCTGAGTTTTCAACATTGTGAAAGATTTTCCTATCATTTCGGTGTTCAATTGTTTCTGTAAAATCATTCAATAATTGCTGAGTGTCTAATATGTCCATCATAGAGACATCAGAACGGGAAGATGGGAAGGTCATACTATGTAATTCTTTACTTAAAATATCTTTTCTGTTGGCTCTCAGTTGAGCTACAGAGTTAGGAGACTTGAGGGGAAAAGCTGAAAATTTTTACTTGATTTATGCTTGTGTTTCCTTATTACCTTGTACGCAGACAGAAAGCCCTTGTTAACATAGCTGTTCTTCAGGGAGGAGTATGGAAACTACAGACCTAAATTAAAATCTTTTTTTTTTTTTAAATCAAGACTATTTTGAATTACTGTGGTTTCCCCTTAGTTTAATAGTTATTTTGGAAAGGTGTAAATGAGCTAAAAATACTTATGAGATTAGGCTGTCAATAAACACCATCTAAAATAGGTTAATCAAAGCAGGACAGAAGGAAGTTTTTACCTAGAAAACTAGAGGTATGTACTAAGAGGAAATTGCTTAAAAAATAAATAAAAGAAAGAAAGAGAAAGGAAATTATTGTCTCTAGGATAGAAGTGGAAGTAAAGATGAACAGAGGGGACAGAAACTGCTTTTGTTTTTAAAAAAGAAATGCCTAAGCACTATTTAAACATTTAACTTATTTACATATGATACTTAGATAAAAATAAAAATTATTTTTAAATACCCTACCATCTTCTTAGAACATCAATACATCCCTAACCATTCTTTTCCCCTTGGGGTTTTATTTTATAGTATTAAAGTCTAAGTCCTAGGATAAAACAAAAATTGATTTAAAATAAAAGGTGGTTGATAAAGTTATTGTTGATTTTGTAATATTTTGAGAAACATGGATTCCTCAACTTTTCCATTAGATTTGTACTTTTACAAGTAAATTATGTTAAAAAAAAAATAAATTGTATAATAGATATCTTCATACCAACCTGACTGACTGGATCTGCTTTTAGGTACCATAACTTTCTTATTATCTATGGGGTAATTCTCAACTGAAAATTCTTCTGTTTCATCATTATCCATTGTATTATCTTCATCCAGTATCTGTTTGGGAAATGACAATTCTGTTTCCTTTGGAGTGTTCTGGAAGTCCCAAGGATTGTCAAAATTATATAAGAATTTTTTAAAATATGGTAAGGTATTAGAATCATCTGTTTTGTCTAAGATTCTTTTCTTATCCATTTGAATTTCAGTTTCCATAATTTTTATGATTTCTGTTTCTTGTTCCATATTAGGGCCAAATTCACTTGCTGGAAGATGCTCATCTTCATCACCTCCACCTCCTTCTTCATTTTTTCTATCATCTGATCTAATTTTATCTTCATTGGCATATGGAAAGCCTAGCATACCAAAACCAAAATCAAACCAGCTTGACTTGAGAATTGAGCTATCATTAATAATTGGATCTTCTTTTTCTATTAACATTTCTGTACATGGAACTATAGGTTCTTCATCAGATGATATGGTATTGGGAACATCTTGTAGTGGTTGATTGCTTTCTTTGGACAATAATTCAAGCCCTGCATCCTCACCTCCAAAACCTAAGTAACTTGTAAATCCACCACCAAACCAACCAGTAGTTTGAGGATTGAGAATGTGCTCAGATTCAGATGCTAGTTCAGACTGTTTCTTTGGCACTGAATCAAATTCAGATTCTTGGTCATGTTCTATTTGAGTCGCATCATTATTTAATTCCTCTAAGTCATTCTCATCTACCATTGCTATTTTTCTACTTCGAAATGAGCTTTCTTGCAGAGGTTCAATAACTGATTCAGAGGCCTTCGCTTCAGCTTGTTCTCTTCTCAATCTAAACCACCCTCTCGCTTCAGGAACAGTTGGAAATGGTGAGACATGATCCACTTCCGGAATTTGATCTTGGGTTTCTTCTCTGACAGTATCTTGTTCCACGCTTCCAGCTTCTACCTCTTCCCAGTCTTTTGATTCACTGCTACTTCTGATATCATCTGGAACCTCTGCTGCTAGAAATTGGTCTTCTAAGAAAGTGCTTTCAGAAGTTGAATAAAATCCAGATTCTACCTGAAAATCACTTTCATATACACTAGATTTTTGGTCTTTATCTTCTTCGTATGTATATATCATTTCAACATTATCACTGTTTAACTCACTATCTTCATTTTCAAATATGTAGCTTACTCCAAGAAGACAAAGAAAGTCAGATTCCTAAAAGAAAAGAAACATTATGATTGACATAAATGTACAAAAACTCCTTGTTTCTCCCCAAATCATTTTAAATGGATAATTGTGATTTTCTCAAGACCATGCAACAAGGTCAGCAGCACAGCAAAAACTAAGATCTTAAACACTTTCATTGCAACTGATTTGTAAGGCTTAATGATGTAAATCTAAATGAAAATCTTTTCACATATGTTTTATCTTTTATCAGACAGCTGAAGAATTTGAGAAGCAGAGACAATCATATATACTCAATATACTTTGAGTATATTCTACTAATAACTCTGATGAAAATGAACACATGTTCATAAAACCTTGCACCTCCTAAGTGTATAATGAGTGAGTGGACTCATATTTTTTGTATGGGGACTTAAGGGAGGGAAAAGTCAGAGCACATAGTCACATAGATAAATGCCTTTAGAGTTCAGACAGATCAGAGACTCTAATGTCATGAAGACCTGGTGGAATTTGCACTAAAATATTTAGACTTCCTATATTGAGATCTTGCATATAGCCAATGGAGGTAATGATCCACTTGCTCATCTCACTCAACAACCAAATTATCAAGAAGAAAAGTGGTGAGGGCATTAAATAAATAAATAAATAAAGATTAGAAACAGTGACGTGTGCTGCACTTAGGAAATCACTATTATGAAATGAGAAAAGAGATCGGGTTATTTTTATTAACTGCAGAATTGCAATTTTACAATATATTCTAGACACTGTAATTTTTGAGTTGATTCTGACTCATAGTTACCCTACGTACAACAGAATGAAACACTGCCTAGTTCTGCGCCATCATCACAACCATTGCCATGCTTGAGCGCATTGTAGGAACCACTGTGTCAATCCATCTTATTAAAGGTCTTCCCTGTTTTTGCTGACCCTCTATTTTACCAAGTGTGATAGTTGGAGCTGTGTGTCCACTTGGCTGGACCACAATTCTGTGTGGTTTGAGCTGTTGTGGTGTGGTTGTTCCCATGATGGGATCAGATGATTATGTTTTAAGCCAATCTGTTGAAAGGGAGTTTCCCTAGGGATGTGGCCTGCTTCCATTATATCTGTGGACACCCTAGGAGAGGAGACATTCTTCTGTGGATCAGGATTCTGTTGTGCTGCCTGCAACTGTCCATGAGTGAACAATCCACCATTTGGCCTGGAGATCTTGGATTCATCATTCATTGGAGTCAACAGCTGGTGTATTCCTGCCAGCCTTGAGCTCCTCAGCCCCTGCGGCTGCAAGAGTTGGGAAAAGCCTACAGCTTGACGTTTGATACAGGAACTTTGGACTTGCCAGCTTCTGTAAGTGTGTGAGCCATTTTCCTAAGATAAATTTCTCTATATATACATATGTATAAGCTTTACTGGTTTTGTTTCTCTAGAGAACCCAGTCTAACACACCAAGCATGATTGGTAAATATTGCAACTGGAGGCCTGAATTTTTTCTTGAGTTATTTCAGCTTGAGAAATGCTTAGTATGCCCTTCCCTTTTGGTTTTCTAACTTAAGATCTTTGCACATTTCATTATAATCCTTTAGTTTGTCTTCTTGAACTGCCCTTTGAAATCTGTTCACCTCTTTTACTTCATCATGTCTTCAACTCATTTTAGCTACTCTTCATTCAACAGCAAGTTTCAGAGTCTTTTCTGACATCCATTTGGTCTTTTCTTCCTTTCCTCTTTTTGAATGACCTTTTGCTTTCTTCATGTCTGATGTCCTTAATATCATGCCACAACTCATCTGGTCTTTGGACACTGGTGTTCAGTGGGTCAAATCTATTATTCAGATGGTCTCTAAATGCAAGTGGGATATACTCATAGTTGTATTTTGGCTCTTGTGAACTTGTTTTAATTTTGAAAAAAAATAAGCTTCAACTTAAACTTGCACATTGGCAATTAGTGGTCTGTTCCACAGTTGGTCCCTGGCCTTGTTCTGACTGATGTTATTGAGCTTCTCCATCCTCTTCTTCCACTGAAGTTGTTAATTTGATCCCTGTGTACTCCTTCTGGCAAAGACTACATGTATAGTAAATGTTAATGTTGTTGAAAAAAAATGTATTTGCAATGAATAAGTCATTGGTGTTACAAAATCCTATTATGTGATCTCCGGCATCATTTCTAATCACCATGGCCATATTTTCCAGCTACTACAATGCTTCTTTGATTCTAACTGTCACATTCTAATCACCAGAAATGATCAAATATCTTGATTGCATATTTGGTCAATTTCATACTGCAGAAGTTGGTAAAAATGTTCAATTTTTTCATCTTTGTCTTTAGTGGTTGGTGTGTAAACTTGAATAATAGCAGTATTACCTGGTCTTCCTTGTTGTTGTTGTTGTTGTTATGTGCCGTTGAGTCGGACCCGACTCATAGTGACCCCTCCTTGGGTTTCCGAGGCAGTATCACTACGGAAGTAGACTGCCCCATCTTCCTTCCGAGGAGTGGCTGGTGGATTTGAACCTCCAGCCTTCTGGTTAGCAGTCAAGTGCTTTAGGCACTATGCTACCAGAGCTCCTGGTCTTCCTTGTAGGCTTATGGATATTGTTTTATCATTGACAGGACTGTACTTCAGGATTAACTTGAAATGTTCTTTTTGACGATAAATGTGATGCCATTCCTCTTTAATTGGTCATACTCAGCATAATAGGCCATATGATTGTCTGATTCAAAATGGCCAATACCAGCTCATTCCAGCTCACTATGCCTTGGATATTGAACTTTGTGTGTTCCATTTCATTTTTGACAACTTCCAATTTTCCTAGATTCATACTTCATACATTCCACATTCTGATTATAATGGACATTTGCAGCTGTTCCCTCCCATTTTGGGTAGTGCCATATCAGCAAATACTTTACATCCCAAGCTTTACTCCATCTACATCATTAAGGTCAACTCTCCTTTCAGGAGGCAGTTCTCTGGTCATATTCTGAGTGCCTTTCAACCTGAGGGGCTCATCTTCCAGCACATATCAGAGAGTGTTTCACTGCTATTAATAAAGTTTTCAGTGGCTAGGTTTTTTATTCAGAAGTAGACTTGGCCATGTCCTTCTTGCTAGTCTGTCTTAGTCTGGAATCTCCATTGAAACCTGTCTACCATGTCTACTTTGTCCTATTGGGACAGAGTAAATACCCACCAGGTACTCTAAAGGAGAAAACTGTGACAGTCTCCTTCTGTAAAGATTTACAGCTTGAAACCCTACAGGGCAGGTCTACTCTGTCCTATTGAGTCGGCATGGGTGACTCTGCTAGTATGTGAAATACTGGTAGCAGAACTTCCAGCATCATAGCAACAGACAAGCCACCAAAATTAAGTACAGACTATGGAACCAAAGCCCCTGGGCTCAAATCTTAACTCTGCCATCTACTAGCACTATGACTTTGAGTGAATTATGTGACTTTTCTATGCCTGAGTTTGCTCATCTATGAAATGGAAATAATGATGATACCTATCTCATAGGGGTGTTGTGCAGATGAAATGAGCCAAGTACTCAGAATAGTAACTGTCTCTAGTAAACACTGTTGTTGTTGTTGTTGTTATGTGCCATCAAGTCGGACCCGACTCACAGCAACCCCTCCTTGGGTTTCCGAGGCAGTATCACTACCGAAGTAGATTGCCCCGTCTTCCTTCTGACACTAGTCTAGCCCAAGTTACATCTCCTCAGATGATGCCAGTAATTCAGGGATATAAATTCTCAATCCTCTTGCCTCAATTCCAGACAATTCTGAAGGGCCATCCCAGGTTCATAGGTCCTTGTGAGACTGACTAAGGCTTTTGTTACAAACACATCTCTGTTCAATATTAGTGTCTGCCCAATTCTACATTTTGTTTGTTTGTTTGTTTTCTCACAAGTGCTATTCCCAAGAGTATTCCCCAAGTAAACTTTGGGTGCAAAGAGCAGTCTCAGCATATGTTTCCAAGAAAACATGAACTAATGATTTGGGACTTCTGCATGCATACTATGTGCCTGGCACTGTGCTAGGAGTATACAGTAAATAGAAAAAAAAGTTGTTATAAATAGCCTAAGTGCTATGGAATAAATACCCACCAGGTACTCTGAAGGAGAAAGCTATGACAGTCTCCTTCTGTAAAGATTTACAGCTTGAAACCCTACTGGGCAGGTCTACTCCATCCTATTGGGTCATGATGAAGATTGGATTGATGGCAGTGGGTTTGGCAGTGGTGTGGAGTAAATACACGGAACTGTGATTCAGAAGCAATCATTACTTTAGAATCATCATAGACAGCTCTCTGAGACAATGATGTTTAACTGTGACCTAAAGCATAAGAAGGAACTAACTACTCAAGTGAAGAATTTAGAGAAAGCATTCCAACTAGGGAATAGCCTGTTTGAGTCTCTGGACTGGGAAAAAATTTGGCATATTCTAAAAACAGTCTAAAGGCCAGTGTGGCTGGGAATGTAGTGAGTGTGGGAAGAGTGGCACAAGACTGAATCAGCAAGGGGAGCAATAGCCATCATGTGGATCTGTGGGGCCAGGGAAAGTAGTCTGGGTTTTACTCCATTAAAGTGTTTTAACCAAAGAAATAACATGATCTGATTTTTTGTTTTTGTTTCACAAGATCTGTCACTATTTGGAGAATGGATTGGAAGAGGTCAGTGCTGAGTCAAGGAGACCAGTGAGAAGGCTATTGTAGTATTCTAATGAAGAGATAATGGTGCCTTGGATTAGTGCTCTGGTGAGAATGAAAATGAAGAGAAGACAATACACTCCAGATATATTTTGGAGATAGAACTGATAGAACCAATTATTGTACAGTAAATGGATGGTTAATCCCATAGTTTGTGTTGACAAAAATGCCAGGTAAAAGTTTACTCGACTAGGCAGAATTATACTTCATAATGACCTTGTTTAAGGTAAACTGGCTTAATTTGTAATCTGAATTAACAAGGTTAATCAAGTCCACATATTGATAAGTCCCCTTCTGATTCCTTTTCACTATCAAGTCCAGCATTAACAAGTTCAATATTATCAAGTTCATTAAAAAACTCAAACTGCAAAAGAGGTTGTTCAGATATAAGATACCTAGGGAATATGGAGGTGTTCTGGTAGCACAGTGCTTCAGGCACTTAACTGCTAACCAGAAGGCTGGCGGTTCAAACCCACCAGCCACTCCTTGGAAGGAAGGTTGTGCTACATCCGTAGTGATACTGCCTCAGAAACCCAAGGAGGGGTCGCTATGAGTCAGGTCTGACTCGAGGGCATATAATAACAACAACAGAGAATGTGGTGGGAAATAAAAGTTGGTCTCAGTAGGACAAAAACATTACAAAAACTTGTAAGTGCTTTTCTATGCACATTTACTTACTGATTCCTCAATACATTTATGAAGTAACACAACATAAATTTATGAAGTAGGACTATATAATGATCATCATGCTAATTTTATAGATGAGGAAACTGAGGCACACAAGTCCATATAACTAGTAAGTGGCTGAGTCAGGCCTTGAACTCAGACAGTCCACCTCCAGAGTCCATGTTCTTATCCACTACACTCTACTCTCAGTTAATTGTTCAGAAAGCAAAATATTCGCCTGTCATCAACTTTGTCTTATCCAAGAATTTCTAAATTTCACCTGTCATCAACTTTGTCTTATCCAAGAATTTCTAAATTCAAATAATAAGCAAGAATGAATTTACTCACTTTAGTTGATATTTGAACTTCCTCAGATATGAACACCTCTTCAGTCTGGATTGCATCTCTGGGAAAATATCCAAAGTCCTTTCCTTTCTATGAAAATGAAGAACAAAGATTATGAAGGAAGAGTGATCAAAGCAATAATGACTACAGAGTCTAATTTTTGTCCCATGTCCTTGGCTTTCGTTTACTTCAAGTCATAAATATTAGTTGGCTTTCAATTGCCCTCTAAAAGAAAATAAGTGAAGTCATATTCCTTTTGTCATTCAAAAGGAAGCATTAATTTAAGAGACTAAAGAGCCAAGCTGTAAAATGCCACTTTTTTAAACTTCAGAAGGAAAACATTCGCACATATTCATTCTCTTCCTTTTACTGACTCCTAATGACCTTCCTTGCCCAGGTGGACCACAGATTTGCCGTGGTAGACATCAAAGGGCAAGGCAATGACAGCAGTAGCCAAACTAGATGATGCTATCACATACTCAGCATTCTCAGGGTATCAAAATCAAGTTAAGAGGCTTAAACTCTACATGAGCCACAAATGGATTCATCAGGATAGTAAAGGTCCACAAGACCTTTAAGGAGAATTTGACTTCTTTTAACATTTCTGTGACAACTTTGGTAACAGAAATTTTCCATGTGCTGAAAGTGGCTGTGTAGACTTCCTTCTTGAGGACAGTCTGTTATGTGCCGTCGAGTCGGCCCCAACTCATAGTGACCCCTCCTTGGGTTTCCAAGGCAGTATCACTACAGAAGTAGATTGCCCCATCTTCCACCAGCCACTCCTTGGAAGGAAGATGGGGCAATCTACTTCCATAGTGAGATACTGCCTTGGAAACCCAAGGAGGGGTCACTATGAGTCAGGGCCGACTCAATAGCACATAACAGGCTGTCCTCAAGAAGGAAGTCTTCACACAGCCACTTTCAGTCTATTTTCTATCCTTGTTAAAGTTTAAAGAACATATTTCTTTGGTCCTCTAGCTTAGAACTGTTACACCTCAATAGTGTTTCTTCCAGCTCCAATTGCTACAACTGTTTGGAAACAGCCTGTGGGTGGACTCCACAGGATGGTTGCTATCTGCATGGACTAAACATCTAATGCCCCAAAATAAGTATGCCTGAAACTTCACCCTGGCTCCACACTTTAAACATTGCTTTTGTGTAGAACTATAATTTTCACACAGAGTAATCAAAGAATGCTTTCTTTGCCTCAAATAGCACCAACTGTGTCATTTTTCTGATAGCTGCATTGGACACCTCCAGGCGTTCAAGACATACACTGCCATATGTAGGGCACCTCTGAGCAGTAAGGTAGTCAGGAGCTGGAGAGGTCAAGCAAGCCATTCTGGCCAGTGACAGTCAGAGGTCATACAGTTTCTAATGGGAAAACGCAGGGTTTCAAGTAGAATCTGCTCTTTTCCACTGTGACCACAGAGACTACACAGGGAGAAAGCTGATGCATATGCAATATGGAATGATGCATTTATCAGCTTGGTAATGCTTATTCAGCTTGGGAGTAATATCATTTATCACAGCATCTTTTCATTATAATGCATAATGATACAAACAGAGATACAAATCTGTTTCTACACAAAACTATTAATCATTAATTGTCCTAGGTTATATATTCAGATGATTCAGCCGTCTAATCAGCATACTAGGACTTTGGGCTAAATAAAAGGCTCTCCCAGTTGTTATTTTGTCTATGAAAGATTCATACACCAGTTTCCTAGGGTATTAGCCTCTCTGAGGATCACTTTGATAACAACCCAGCCTTTTATTTGCTTTGAAAGACATGTTGTTTAAACAGATTAACTAAAATGTTCCAGTCTTTCCTATATTTGACCACTGGCAGCACAAGGGGTGGCTGAGGTTGCCAACGCACTGCAGTCAAGTCAGATTCAACTCATAGTGAACCCCTCCTTGGGTTTCTGAGGCAGTATCACTATGGAAGTAGATTGCCCAACCTTCCTTCTGAGGAGTAGCTGGTGGGTTTGAACCTCTAACCCTCTGGTTAGCAGTCAAATGCCTTAGGCACTATGCCACCAGAGCTCCTAGGTTGCCTGGTCATCCATAATCTCCACCATCACCCTTAATTCCAAATAAATATAAAATCTAAGTTTAAAAAGTGTGAATGTTATGTAAAAATTTATTGCAGGACAATGTCTTAGCCCTTCATCCCAAGCAGACTCCTTCTCCAAAAGCCTCTATTATAGAAATTCTGAAAACACCACTGAACATAACCAGTCTTAGTTTGTTTAAATATGTTAAGGTTTTTTTAAGGAACTCTGGTAGCATAGTGCCTAAGGCACCTGACTGCTAACCAGAAGGCTGGTGGTTCAAAACCACCAACCACTCCTCAGAAGGAAGATGGGGCAATCTACTTCGTAGTGATACTGCCTAGGAAACCCAAGGAGGGGTTGCTGTGAGTCAGGTCTGACTCCATGGCATATAACAACAACAACAAGGTTTTTTAAATATAAATACAGTGCTTTGAGATTCTTTGATAAAGTTCCTTTACAGATGAAAAGCAGGCATCTTTATGCAAGCTGGTCATTTATTCTGGATTCAATTTTTAATACTAGATACTTACACTGCCTGCCCACAGATCTTCCCTTTCTCCTGCAAGTTTAACATAAACAGATATCTCTTCTCCCTTAGTGAAGTTCAGGTATCGGCAGTCAGGTCCGGTGTAATCTCGTATGGCTATGACTCTGCTTATTAAAGCTATGTAAAGGAGTAAAGAAAAACACACACTTTAAATTAAAATGTCATTTCTCTTCCTCCTATCTATCTCCTCCAGTCCATCCTATGTATATCCAAATGCTAATTTTCTTAAGTCATTTATGGCCTTATAAACCTTCATAGACTTGCCACCATACACAGAATCAAGTCTAAGTAAGCCCTTTGGCTTGGTATCCAAGGCTGTACTTTACCAAACTCCACCTTTCCTATCTAAAAGCAGCTCCTCCTCCTTCTTTACAAAGCTCAGGGCTACATTCTGACTCATCTATGCATCATCCCTACAATATTCCATTATCACTCTTCAGTTTGTGTGGATGGGAAGGAAAAGATTAGTTTGTTACCTGGTACCTATAAGCTCTTTCAAATTTATTTTATTATTTTACTAAATCTTCAAAACAGACTTGAAAGGTAAGTAATCTTATCTCAATCTAAGGAAATGAGCTTTAAGGCTCAGAATTGTTCACATAGTTGATGGATACACCTACTCTTCACTTATCACCAATCGCCAATCGCATTATCGTATCTCATTAACAAGTTGGAAAAAATTTCCAGGCAGCTCCTCCCATGGCCCGGGTCCCTTGAAGGGCCACGGTGAAGCCACCCCGAAAGATAACACCGCATGCCCTAGCGAAGACCAGGCCACACGAGATGGCGGCCAACCGGCAGCACGATTTCTTCTCCCGTTGGTCCACGACCTCTCAGTCCCTCCACGGAGGGAGGGCACCGGGCGACAGTGGGATGACAAGAGGTCGCAAGTGGGCAGGGGGAGGCCAGCAGAGGGCCTGCAGGGCCTGGGGAGAGGTCGGTGGGCGAAGGCGGGAAGGCAGGGCGGGAGAAGAGGCGCCGCAGGGCCTCGCCAGGCGGACAGAGGACCCAGGGAGTCCCCGCCTAGGGCTAGCAGCGGAGGCTTTGGTCGAGGATCCTCGCTGAGGTCGCGGGCTGAGTTCCGGGAGGAGGGGGCAGCGAGCAACACCCGACCACCACCTGCTCCGCAGTGACAGGGAAGAGGTAGTGGGGAAGAGGGCGCCTCAGCGCCAGGGTGCCCAATGGGCGATGAGAGACCAAGGGAAGCCCTGAAGACAGGGCACGGTCCCTGACTTGCAAAACGATGATTTTGCATAACGACCTGGTCTTTGGAATCCAGCCACAAGGATAAGTGAAGAGTGGGTGTAGTGTAGCCAGATTTGCACTGAGATTCCCTCCTCTGCAACATTCACTTTCCTTACTCTGGGCATTTATTTCTACTCTTCCCTAAGCCTGGAAGCCCTTCTGTCATTTTTCATGGTCCATTCAAATCCTGCTTCCTCTGTGAGGCATCCCTAATCATTCCAGTCTATTCTGTTTACTCCTTCTCTGAACTTCAATATTACCTATTACTCTTACTGTGTTGTATCACTAACTGTTTTATATTAACCTGCCTTGTCACCATTGCCTAGATTGAAAATTCCCAGAGGGCACGAGCCTTGTTTTACATTTCATTTTATTCACCTTAAATGCATACCACCCATCCTGAACCTCAGCTCACAGTAGGAACTCAATAACTATGAAAGAACCACAACCAAATATGCTAGATTTAGCACTTCAACACAGAAAATATAAACATAACTTATTAACTATTATGTATAAAACATTTTGATAAAGTCACACAATTAAAATTTAAATAACATTATAAATTATTATAAATTTGAATGATCCCTTTTCAAGTTATGTGTCTGGCCTAAGGATACTAAAAATGGTTGTAATATAAAGAAGAAAAGAAAGACTATTATTATAAAACATCATCTAGTATAATTTCTCTTTATATTAAATCATATTAAAAGGATTAAGGATAATCTAACTTATAAAAATTCTACTTACAAATTATTTATATTTATAATAATATTGCATTTTTAAATTGCATGTTGCATATTAGAAATAATTCTTACATACTAGAGAGAGATAAGTTATTTAAGGCAACTCTAATATATTGGAATGTAATTCATTTTATGTCATAATGCTACTGAAAACATATATTCCTAATACTGATTTCCAGGGGCCCTGGTGGTGCAGTGGTTAAGTGCTCAGCTCCTAATGGAAAGGTTGGCAGTTCCAACCCTCCAGTAGTTCTATGGGAAAAAAGACTTGGAAATCTGCTTCTGTAAAGCTTTCAGCCAAGAAAACCCTTTGGAACAATTCGACTCTGTCCAACAGAGCTGCTATGAGGCAGATGAATTCCATTGCACACAACAGCAATATCGGTTTCAAGATTTTTACAAAATAAATGAATACAGAAATAATTACTGTAGGATAAAGTTTAGACCAAATAAATCACGAAGGTTTGAAATAAAAACAATTTTAGAAAACTCATGAGAACAGGAAAATTCTGATTGTGAAATAGAAACTAAAAAATATAAGGACTTTCTAAAGAAAGCACTGTTGATACCCTGTTCATACTAATCCATTATACTTATCTTTAAAAAACAGTAAAAGGGCTAATTCATTTGTTTTTGATGCATGGACTGATATTATAGTTGCTGTTATATTTATGTATCAGGCTAACCTTTACCCTTTTGTATATTTACATTAAATACTATCACAAAATGCCTTACTTCCAGCATTTTTTATACTGAGCTACACTTTATAATTCCAAATATGTTTCAGTTATATCAATGCTCATTCTTATCATGCATATCCACAGTTAAATTTTATGTCATCTCAGAGCCTCAAGAGGAAAAGAAAAGAAAAAAAGCAAACTTACTTTCACATTCCAAGTCGCCACATTTTTTAAGGTCTGCCAACAGTTCTGTACTCTCCAGACTCTTTGTCAAAGAAATAACCAACAAAAGGAGTCTGTGAACTCCAACATTCGCCATGCTAAAACAAACAAACAGGAATCCAAATAGGTTTAAACTGATTGTTTAGGTGGTAGATATGCCAGTCAGAACAGAAGATACTCTAATCTTTTCACTAAAATAAGAAAGAAATTACATTTAAAAAAAAAAAAGGATTTTTTTTGTTTTTGTTTTTAGCTGCTCAATAACTACATTTCTCTCTCTTTTCGGTCTTAACTTGAGGGACAAACACTCTCTGTACTCAATCTGCAGTGTCAGGTATCCTGATAATACATAAAGGTTTAATAATTAACAGAGATTTTTAGTTGGACTAATTCTGGTGGCGTAGTGCCTAAGGCATTTGACTGCTAACCAGAGGGCTGGTGGTTCAAGCCCACCAGCCAGCCACTCCTCAGAAGGAAGACTAGGCAATCTACTTCTATAAAGATACCACCTCGGAAACCCAAGGAGGGTTGCTATGAGTTGAATTTGACTTGATAGCAGTGAGTTTGGTTTAATGTCTTTATAAAGGTGGCCCACGTAAAACTGTCTCACTTAAAGGCACCTTGTGTACAACAGGTTAGTTCTAAAACAGGCCTCCATGAAAGGTAATCTCATCCTACTGAAGTTTTAGGAAGATCAATCAGCAAGTGCAAACTGAGTATTTGCTGCATGCAAATACCAGCATCAGTGAAGAAAATACATAGTTTTTTGGAGAAATAGTCATGATTTATGTTAAAAAGCATGGTTTTTGAAATATCCTGATAAAAATTATTTTAAAAAGTATGCCATTTTCACATTTAAAAATGTTCTGATCTTAGTAAGAAGCTAAAACTTGTAGTGTAGTGCCTAAGGCACTTGACTGCTAGCCAGAAGGCTGGCGGTTCAAACCCATCAGCCCACTCCTCAGAAGGAAGTTTGGGCAATCTACTTCCATAGTGATACTGCCTCAGAAACCCAAGGAGGGGTCACTATGAGTCAGGTCCGACTCAATGGCACATAATAACAACAAAAAACATATAAAGTGCTGTTTTTCCTCATTTTTTATTTTATATTTTTAAAATTATATATATATATATATTTCTATAAGTAGAAAGAGAATGAGATGTCTGAACGAATGCTCCCCAACACTATAAGAATATATAGTGTAATTTCAGATGATATTCACTTTCTTCTTTGTGTTTCTCTATATTGTTTGACCATCTTTTTAAATCGGTAAGCATGTATCATTTAAAAATAACAATAAAGCCATTAAAATCAAGTCATTTGAATGTTGCTACTGATTCAAAGAAATCAAGGCCCTGCATTGGAAACTTTTGTGTAAAACAAGATCTCAGTAGATTAGTGGAAAATATAAAATTACCTATTTCAAATTTAGGAAAGTATTTTTCTAAGCCCTTTGCAGTGCAATGGATTGCTTTTATATAGCCTTTTTCACCATGGTTCGTAACTTCTACCAAATGACCACAAAGGAGGCATTTGTGGCCCCCCAAGGGAATTGGATAGCACCCTTGTTGGGGTAGAATCATGCAAATAACGTGGAAATTGGTCAGTTTATCTATCCTGCTAGGCTTAAAATGAGCCATCCCAGAAGAAGACGTGGGGGACTTCACTATCACCAAGAAGAGCTAGGAATTGAGTGCAACCTTTGAACCCAGGGTCCCTATGCTGAGAACCTCCTAGACCCAGGAGACAAAAAGAAAGAGCTATAGCACCAGAGATGGCACAAGATGGTGCAGAGAAACAGCACCAGCAGAACCAAGAGACTAGCATGAGATAGCACAGATCAAAGTGGTTACCATAGGCTTGCTGACCCACAGATCAAGAGAAGTGAGTGCAGGAGGCTTCCTGGCAGAGTGGCATGCCTCTGGGCCCTTATCGGAGGGCTAAACAGCTTTGTAACATTTGCCTGAGCAGGGCAGAGGCTAGCCTAAGGGGCCTAGGGGCCGAGGGAGAGGCCTGCCTGCAAGCACGGTCAAGGAGCTGTCCTGATGAAAAGAACTGTATTCTGAATGATTCCTAATCCTGAACATCCTGTTATTTCTCTAATAACCCCCATAACTGTGAGTATGGTTGAGTTATATGTGGCCATTGCAATGAATTATTGAACCCAGAAGAGAAGTAGAGAGCGCTGTGGGAGGAGGGAAAGCTGGTGTCAGAATTGGTGTAAAAATTGGCGAGAGGACGCATATTTGACCTCCGCCGCATCGGAATCAGCCTTGGGCTGATATTGATGGTGATTTTCTCCTTCACCTTGTGAAATTAGATGTCAGATGACCCCCAGCCATTTTTAAACCCTTCTTTGCTGTATGTTTTCACATGTTGGGGTTTGCTAACGTGCACAAAATCTGTTTGCAGGCTCTTGATCTCAAGGGAGAACTCGGCATTTGTGTGACACCACACTCCCTTCTAGTGCCTGACACACACATATTATGTACAACTTTGGCTTTCAAGCCTCTAAAAATGTCTTTTTTGTTTGGTGTTTCCAAAAACATCTTACTCTCAGGTCTTCAATTGCACTGACGCGTCCGCTAGAACATGCAGATCAGGATGTGGATCTGTGGTCATTTGACTTGAAGTCAGAGCATGGTATGATTGTACATACATACATATGTGCAAAAGTGTAGATTCGTTTCTTGAATAGTGTTGCAAATGTGTAAGCTAAGTTGTCAAGGGCATTTAAAGGAGGACCAACTCTTCAGCTTGAAAATGTGGTACAGGATTATTTGCCTAACCTGCATTACCATATCCAATATCAAATCAAGAATATTTAGTAATTAATGTAACTTAACTATCCTTGTTTTGTATCTCATGTTAAAGACATTATGGCTTAATTATGAACTAATTAATTTAATCATATTCTAAGTTAAGAAAGAGACCTACTCAATTTTAAATTGTCTATTGATGGTCATGAAGATTTGAACCAAACAAGATCTGAGCTAAAAATGAGAAAATTTCTTGCTTGGGTACTACCCTGGGGAGATTTGTTGACACTAGAAATGCTCCCACTTTCTTGTTAATGCACTCAGCTGATCTCACTTTATGTTCAGCTCAGTATTTAAACATAACTTAACAAGCTATCTGAAATGTGGTAGCATAATGGTAATGAACTGTCTCTATCAGACCCAGGTGGAGAGGTGGTAGATGAAGAGGACAGCAGCATTTAAAGAAGCCAATCGACTTTCTACTTAAAACAATAGCATTAACTTAGCCAGATGTTGTCTAATTACAGATCCATTTTGTAGATTGTGTCAATATTCAAATTTAATGCTGCTGCTGAGAAAGGTGTCATGGTAACACAACTCAGCCATGAATAATGATTTGGAATGTCTATAGCAGTCTTGAAGAAGCCCTTGTGGTGCAGTGGTTAAAGCACTCAGCTGATAACTGAAAGGTTGGCAGTTTGAACCCACCAGCTGCTCCATGGAGAAAGATGTGGCAGTCTGCTTCCATAAAGATTTACAGTCTTGGAAACCCTACAGGACAGTTCTACTCAGTCCTATAGGGTTGCTATGAGTCAGAATTAACTTGATGGCAATGTTTTTTGTTTGTTAGTTTTGCTATAGCAGCCTTCACAAACTATACAGGAGGTAAGAATACCTACTGCAAAAAGCTAAAGAAGGAATCATCAAAGCCAATGTTTAGTACTTAGAGATACTAAGGTACAGAGCAACTTTTCCATGAGAATGTAAAGACATAACCATGAATGTTGCATTTCTACAGCTTGGTCATGTTGTTTTGGGTATTGTATATAAGTCTTTTTAGTACTTCAGATTTCCTAAAGTGGGAACATATTTTCTTTAACCAGCTACTTGATACTCTGGCAACTTATAGGATAAAAATAAATAAACAAAAAACCAAACTCACTGCCATCAAGTCAATTCTGACTCATAGTGACCCACCCCCATTGGGTTTCCGAGGTGGTAAATCTTTACAGAAGTAGATTGCCCAGTCTTCCTTCTGAGAAGTGGCTAATGAGTTTGAACCACCAACCTTCTGGTTAGCAGTCAAATGCCTTAGGCACTATGCCACCAGAGTTCCTTAATTTATAGGATAGAGAAATTTAATTAGAAGACACTGGAGATAAGCAGACCTGATTAAGCTGGGGTGGTTTTACTAGGGATGGGGAATGGTTCCCATGGCACAGTTGCACAAGAGATGAGGTCCAGCAGAAGTGGAGATTCAAACTGGTGTGGAAGATATGGAGATGGTCCTGCACAACCCCTTAAGTTTGGACTTTATGGCCAGCTGTAGGGAATGCAATTATCACATCGCCTCCAGCAGTCAGCTATTTCAGGATCTGCCTCAGCTGCCTTCCTGGGACAGCTTGCATCTAGTGAGGAGTAAGTGTAAAGGCAGGGCCATTTCAGCCTAACATGGGACACCCTGCAGGGCATTTCTCACTCCAGAGCTTTGTGCTGGGTTGGCAGAGGAGACTTTGTTGCGCCTTCATTGAAGGTTGCCTTCCCTCTGTGCCCAATCCTGTTTTCTCTTTCCTTTCATAGGTATTGATCCCTAATAAATGTCTTGAACAGCCAAATTCTGTTTCAGCATCATCTGGTTCTAGAGGACTGTGACACTGAAATTGTGTGTCAATTTGACTGAATGTAGTTATTCTCCATGATGAGACTAGTAATCAACTTCATGGTGGAATCTACTAGAGCAGCTGAGTAGCTGCCGTAGGGATGTGGTCTGCTTCCAGTATAGAAGAAGCAACTTTGAGAAAGGTCTTTGCAGCTTTTTGGCACACTTGGCATATAGCCAAGTCATCATTCAGCAGCTTGCCATGTTGTCTGCTGATCTTAGGATTGTTTATGGACTTGAACCAGTGGCCTGCCGTGTTATGTGATAATCTTGAGGCTGTGCCATTTTAATTGTCAATCTTGGGCTTGTTAGCCTCAGCAGTCAGCAGCTGCCTTAGTGAAAAGATGCCTCCAGTTCCAGTGGGCTGGGAGTAAGAAGCAGAGCTGAAACCTAAGGTCAAGAGGCTTTCACCCAATCCCTTGAGCTGGCACTTTAAACTCAAACTTCTAGCCTCCTAA